AGAGAGAAAGAGACAGACAGATAGATAGAGGGAGGGAGGGAGGGAGGGACAGAGAGAGAAAGAGAGAGACAGATAAAGAGAGAGACAGAGACAGAGAGAGACAGACAGACAGAGAGACAGAGACAAGAGAGAAAGACACAGATAAAGAGAGAGAGACAGACAGAGAGACAGAGAGAGAAAGACAGACAGACAGAGAGAGGGAGGGACAGAGAGAGAAAAAGAGAGAGAGAGAGAGAGAGAGAGAGAGAGACAGAGACAGAGACAGAGAAAGACAGAGACAGACAGACAGAGACAGAGACACAGAGAGAGAAAGAGACAGACAGACAGACAGAGACAGACAGAGAAAGAGAGAGAGAGAGAGGGAGGGAGGGAGAGACAGAGACACAGAGAGAGAGAGAACAACAAGCATTTTTAAAAAATAAAATATTTCAAATAAAAGAATTTGAAATAAAATGCTATTTTAACACTTGATGGCTGGATATTGTCAAAGCTGACCCCAGCCAGACCATAGGAGTGAAAGATTAGAAGTTGTGGAGAGACCCGGTCCAAGATCAATCAGTCAGAATAGAGCCAGAAGGGACCTCAGAGGTCATCTAGTCCAACCCCCTGCTCAAGCAGGAGACCCTAGACCAGGGGTAGGGAACCTTGGCTCTTTTATGACTCGTGGACTTCAACTCCCAGAATTCTTGAGCCAGCCCTGCTGAGGGAAAAGGGAGAGGCTTCCAAGCTGAGCCATGGTGGCTCAGGAATTCTGGGAGTTGAAGTCCACAAGTCATAAAAGAGCCAAGGTTGCCTACCCCTGCCCTAGACCATTTCAGACAAGTGAACTCTTCAACCTCTTCTTAAAAACCTCCATTGTTGAAGCACCCACCACGTCTGGTGGCAAGCCGTTCCACTGGTGAATGGTCCTCCCTGTCAGGAAATTTCTCCTGAATTCCAGGTTGCTTCTCTCCTGGATCAGTTTCCATCTGTCGCTGGGTGCTTGGGAGAATAGTTGGACCCCCTGTTCCCCGAAGGTCCCCTTCCCACCCCACTCACCTCCTTGGACGTGATGTTCTCCAGATCCTTCTGCATCATAATCTCCCTCAGTTTGGTCTTGATCAGACGCTCCGTCCGCTCGCGCTCCGTGGGGCTGAAACGAGGGAAGCCACAACGGTGGAAACCGGAAGGAGGACACGGACGCGGGCAAGGAAGGGGTGCAGAATTTGACAGCACCCCTGAATGTGTTCCTTTCCTGTCCCTCCCCTCCCCTTTTCCCTCCGGCGCAACTGAGGTTGGCGTCTCTACGTCCCCCTCATCCAGCTTCGTTTATTTATTAATTATTCCTCCTTTGGATGTTTTTTTTTTCATAAAACGGTTTCATCGTTTTAGAATTTGTAAGCCGCCCAGAGTCCCTGGGCAGCCCCATACAGCTAGTCCTCGACTTATAACCGTTCAAAATTAGGACAGCACCGACAAAAAGTGACTTCTGACCGCTTTCGGCCACCGCAGCGTCCCAAAATCCAGACGCTTAGCGACGGGCTCATCTTTATGACGGTCGCAGCGTTCCCGGGGTCACGCGATACCCTTCTCACAAGCAAAGTCAGTGGGGATTCACTTAACGACCGTGTTGCTAAGTGCAGCGATTCGCTTAACAATCCCGTGTGCCTCACAACTGCAGCGACGGACTTTAACAATGGTGGCAGGGACGGTGGTAAAATGGGGCAAAACCCACTCAACATCCCCTCTTGCTCAGCCAATTGTGGTCGTTAAGGTGAGGACTACGTCATCCGATGTGTGCTTAAGAGCTCAAAACATTGTTAGAGAGACCACACACACACACAGCCACTTCACGGTCTGTTCCTGTTGCTCCCCTCTGGGAGGAGATTCTGAAGTATTTATAGCAGGACCACCCATTCTGTGACAACTTTGTTCCCTACGCCGTCCATCTGGTAAACCGCGCCAGATTCGTTTTTCTCGCCAGGCACATGTATACATAGCCCGAACTAGACTGTGTGGTTTCTCTATGTCATATAATATATGTGGGTATAGGCATAATCTGTATTTACTTATTTATTTTTGTCATAGTTATGTAGCGTATATCGGAGGTGGCGACCCTTTGAGAGCTGAATGCAATGAAATTTCGTTTTAATGTATGCCGATTAGTGCACATTCAGAGTTACAATAAAGTTATTATTCTATTCTATTCTATTCTATTCTATTCTATTTCCTATTCTATTCCAACTCTGTTATTCTATTTCTATTCTATTCTATTCTATTCTATTCCATTCTTTCCATATTCTATTCTATTCTATTTTATTCTATTCTATTCTATTCTATTCTTTCCATATTCTTTCCATATTCTATTCTATTCTATTCTATTCTATTCTGTTCTGTTCCCTTCCATTTCCTATTCTATTCTATTCTATTCTATTCTATTCTATTCTATTCTATTCTATTCTATTCTATTCTGCTCTGTTCTGTTCCCTTCCATTTTCTATTCTATTCTATTCTATTCTATTCTATTCTATTCTATTCTATTCTATTCTATTCTATTCTATTCCATTCTTTCCATATTCTATTCTATTCTATTCTATTCTATTCTATTCTATTCTATTCTATTCTATTCTATTCTATTCTATATTTTATTCCATATTCTATTCCATTCCATTCTACTATTCTATAATCCAGTGGTGGCGAACCTATGGCACGGGTGCCAGAGTCGGCACTTGGAGCCCTCTCTGTGGGCACACGTGCCGTTGCCCCAGCTTTGCCTCCCTCCACGATCCCCTCCTCACCAGCAGCCCCCCTGGAGGAGAGTCAGCCCCGAGCGTGGCCCACGCGGAGCAGCGCAGCCAGGGACATGGCAGCCAGGCAGTGTAGACAAGACTCTGCCCTCACGCCCCATCACGCATCAGTTGATGCTGCGGGGTGTGGGCAAAGGGCGTGGCCGCCATGGCGCTGCTGGGCTGCCTGGGCGATCTGCGGCGGGTCCTAGAGGCGGTGAGTGGCCCTGCGGGCAGGCAGGGCAAGGGATGGGGTGTGGAATGGGGGTGGGCCAGTTTTTGGGCACTCGGTCTCTAAAAGGTTCGCCATCACTGCTATAATCTATTTTATAATCTATTCTATAATCTATCCTATCCTATCGTAACTCTAATGACTAAGTAAATGAACATAAAACGGGTCATTCCTCCGTGTGTCTCCAGCCAGGCCACTCAGAGCTGAGTGGGTTCAAGGTCACAGGCTGGAAATTGAGGAAGCAGCTGGACAGCATCCCTGGAATAACCGAGGGATCAGCTTGGTGGCCCCCTGCCCCCTGCACCGATAAGGGCATCGGCGCGCTTTGTAGCGCCGTCCTCCCTCTGGCACCCCCTACCTTTCTTGGAGAGGTGACCCTTCCAGGCTTCCTTATATGGCACCGAGAACTGGCCCCTGCATTCCGGGCCGCCTCCGGCTTTATCACCGGCTATAAAAATAGCCAAGCCTCATCCGAGGGGATGAAGTCCCGGACGACTCCAAAGGCAGCCGGCCGATGCCATCAATGGCCTGAGCCCAGGAAGGGCCAGGCCAGCTCAGCCAAAGGGGGGGTGGGGGTGGATCCTTTGGGCTGGGGGCTTCCTGGAAGCCTCCAGTGGTTCTCCTTCGGCTCTACTTTACAAGTCAACTTGCAATTAGAGTTGGGAAGGCCTGGGGGAAAAAAACTGGGAAAATTGGGGGAAAAAAACCAGGGTTTTTTTCCCCATTTTCCCCCACCCCCCAAACGGCTTTAGAACAAAAGAAAAAAGAGAAAACCTGTTTTTTTTTCCTCGATTTTTCCAGGGTTTTTAAAATTTTTTTATCCAGGCCTTCCCATCTCTACTTGCAACCGTTCATTTAGGGCAGTGATGGCGAACCTTTTAGAGACCGAGTACCCAAAAACTGGCCCCACCCCCGCTCCGCCTCCAACCCTGCCGGCCCGCAGGGCCACTCACCGCCTCCAGGGCCCACCGCAGATCGCCCAGCAGTGCCATGGCGGCCGCACCCTCTATTCTGCTATGATCCGTTCCCTTCCATTTCCTATTCTATTCTATTCCTATTCTATTTTGAATTCTATTCTATTCTATTCCATTCTTTCCATATTCTATTCTATTCTATTCCATTCTTTCCATATTCTATTCTATTCTATTCTATTCTATTCTATTCTATTCTATTCTTTCCATATTCTATTCCATTCCATTATTCTATTCCATTCCATTCTTTCCATATTCTATTCTATTCTATTCTATTCTATTCTATTCTTTCCATTCTTTCCATATTCTATTCTATTCTATTCTATTCTATTCTATTCTATTCTTTCCATATTCTATTCCATTCCATTCCATTCTATTCCATTCCATTCTTTCCATATTCTATTCTATTCTATTCTATTCTATTCTATTCTATTCTATTCTATTCTATTCTATTCTATTCTATTCTGTTCTATTCCATTCCATATTTTATTCTATATTTTATTCTATATTCTATTCCATATTCTATTCCATTCCATTCTATAATCTATTCTATAATCTATTCTATAATCTATCCTATCCTATCATAAATCTAATGAATAAGTAAATGGACATAAAATGGGTCATTCCTCCGTGTGTCTCCAGCGAGGCCACCCATCAACTGTGTGCAATGGGGTATGAGGGCAGAGTCTTGTCTACGCTGCCTGGCTGCCATGTCCTTGGCTGCGCTGCTCCGTGTGGGCCACGCTCGGGGGCGACTCTCCTCCAGGGGGGCTGCTGGGGAGGGGTTGCGGGGGGAGGCATGGCTGGGGCAACGGCACGTGTGCCCACAGAGAGGGCTCCCGAGTGCCACCCTGTCATAGGTTCGCTACCACTGGTTTAGGGACTCTCCAAAGTTCCTCCAGGGGCCTGGCAAAAGTTGATTCGTGGCCCCTTTTTCACACTTACAACCGTTGCAGCCTCCGCCCCCCGTGGGTCACCTGATCAAAATTCAGACGCTTGGCAACTGACTCGTATTTAAGACGGTCGCAGCGTCCTGGGGTCACGTGATTCCTCCTTTTGTGACCTTCGGACGGGGCAAAGCCAAATGGGGAAGCCAGAGTCATTTAACAGCCGTGTGACTCACTTAATGGCTGCAGTGATTCACTTAACGACGGTGGCAGGAAAGGTCGTAAAATGGGACAAAACTCACTTAAGACAAATTCCTTGTTTGTCCAATCACACTTGGCCAATAAAGAATTCTATTCTATTCTATTCTATTCTATTCTATTCTATTCTATTCTATTCATCCTTCTATTCTATTCTTTTCATTCTTCTATTCTACTCTATTCTATTCTTTTCATTCTACTCTACTCTACTCTACTCTACTCTATTCTATTCTTTTCATTCTTCTAGTCTACTCTATTCTATTCTATTCTAGTATTTTCATTATTCTATTCTATTGTATTCTATTCTATTCTTTTCATTCTTCTATTCTATTCTATTCTATTCTATTCTATTCTATATTCTTTTAATTCTATTCTATTATTTTCATTCTTTTATTCTACTCTACTCTATTCTTTTCATTATTCTATTCTAGTCTTTTCATCCTTCTATTCTATTCTTTTCATTATTCTATTCTATTCTATTCTATTCTTTTCATTATTCTATTCTATTCTGTTCTGTTCTGTTCTGTTCTGTTCTGTTCTATTCTATTCTATTCTATTCTATTCTATTCTATTTTCTATTCTATTCTATTTTCTATTCTATTCTATTCTATTCTATTCCTATTCTATTCTACTCTACTTACAACAGCCTCGCTTAGAGTTGGGAATTTTGGCCTCCACTGTGCTCGTACGTCAAGACTATCTGTAAAAATGGTTTCCCCCCCTCTTCCTTTGCTTGATCCTTGTGTCCTTGTGGGAGTCTAGCAGGGTGCACCAATCCACTTACACGTCCGTAAAGAGGACTGGGGAATCCGGGCGGTGGGACTGGACATCCTGCATGGCGTTCCACTCGTTGACCGAGGACTGGTCGGAATTGATGTGGCTCTCATAG